TCTAGTAGGATATGAGAAGATAAAAAGCCAATGAAAAAATACCAACTGTTCAAAAGAGGGGAAGGGAGCAGTAAGACTTCACTAAGAGCCAAAAGATACTGTCCTCTTCGAAGGACAGCACTCAGGAGTACTGGGAATAACTGTGAGGCGTGGGCCCTTTGAGACCTTCTGATCATTGCTCCTGGGGCATCTGGGGGTAGAGATTCCAGTGCCTTTCCGCCAGAAGACACGCAAGAATTTGCAGGCCTTTTGACCATTGGTGCTCTCCACTTTGTTTATTCCCTCAGTCTTCTCTTGAGCCAGAAAGAGCATCTGCTCAGGTACCGTGACACTCAGAGAACTAAGAGCGGGCCCAGAGGCAATGCAACAGAGAGCTGACTGCTCAAATGTGCTCTAGTCTGCAGGGAGAAGAGACCTTCCGGTTTCCTGCGAGGCTGCCCAGCCCATTTCGCCATGGTAGGAAAGGGACCTGATTTAAGGCCAATACTCCATTGAGGAATAAAAAGAGGCTACACTGTCAGGTGCTAATGCATCTGGGAAGGTCGTGTGTGATGGGCATCAGTGCTGGAGAAGGAGAACAGACAAACACTATGGATTTTGTAAAGACAAGGATTACTCACATTATTTGCTGTTGCATACTCATCTGTCAATGTGGTATGAACTCAAATGTATAAAACAACATTCTCACCGAGTTATGAAAACACGTATTGTTATTCTCTTTTCTTTTTCCCCAATATTTTCTAAACTTTCTTCAATTAGCACTTTTTAGTATTTTGGTACCATGGTATTAGTCCTCTCAACTGACCCAACTGGGGACAGGAGTTGGATCACTGACAAAAATGCTGGATAAAGTAGGAAGCCCCAAAGTATGACTATTATTGTAAATACTAACTTCAAAATGCACATTTGAACATATAATTATCCTCTGCCAACCTTTTCAGATGTGGCCAAAGCCTTTTCCTTCAATATGGATCAGTTTGGGGTTCCAGGTCATCTTTCTTAGATAAACTATGCCACATATATCTGTGAATTCCTATCCCTATCCCTTTAAAAAGTAATAAATTTAAAGATACTTGTGAAGCAACATGAGCTCAGGTTCTTCCTGAGATTTTTACTCAGCGCTGCCCTGTAACCTAAAAGCTATCTGTTCACTGTCATTCCTCACATTTTTAAGAGACTCTTCTTTATCAAGTCTTTCCAAAGCATTCAACTTGATTTTAATGGACATAAGTCTCTTTTCTGTACTCCCATTTCTTCAGTTTACATAATACTGAAATAAATTATGGAGTCACAACAGGTGCAAAACTTATACCAATGGTCTGAGGACAAATAAATGGCCCTTAGTAAGCATCCACCTCACCACGTGGAAAAAGCACAAGAGCATTCTAGAAAGTATGCACAAGCATACTGAGTGTGCTGTGGGTATGAGTAGGCACGATTTGTGAAGGGAATGAAGGGTGGCAGAAGAGTTGACTGTGTGAACGCAGCTTGATGTGTTTATGCACTTTCCGAAACTGAAACCACCCTCCGCTGCTCAGTTCCTTATGGGAAGGGGCTGTCGAAAGACAAACAACCTGCTTTGAAAGATGCAGTGGGGGGAGAAGGGAGCACGCGAGCCCTTCCTCTTTACCACATGAGTGTGGGGCAGGAATGTGTGTGCAAGCGTGGGTGTCAGGGGAAGTGGTGATCTGAGTGGCCGAAGAGCACAGGGGGTGACTGTCACAGGCCCCGGCATCACCAGGAATCCAGGCTCTACGTTATGCCGACAAGTGGCAGGAATGATTACATGATGACACTGCCGAGGCGTCATTCACAGCACAACAGGGGTGCCCCTGGGTAAAAAGTGGCAAACGGCCAGAGAAAGAGAGGAGTCAGAGCTGCGAGTAAGCACAGGAGGAGGAAGGGGACGATGTGGCCCGTGGTCAGACCCTGACTCCAAAGGACGAAGAAATCAGGAGGCTGTGAGGTAGACCGGAGGCATAAACTTCCCACTTTCTGTCTTTCACCTATCAGTCCAACTGCTTTGCACCTTCAGCTAGTTTTCACTACAAAACTGCTGTCCCTAGGAGGGATGCAGAAGTGGTTGAGAGCAATTCCGGCCCTTGAGAAATTTACCGCGCAGTCAGAGAGCCCAACGAAAGTACAGGTAAGGCCACGACCGCAAGTACAGAACAAGGGCGGGGAAGAGCAGCGCAGACAGGAAGTGCCGCAGAACGGCAGAATCTTTGCACCTGAAGAGTCAAGGGCAGCAGGCTCCTCCTCATCCTCTCCTCCGACCTGACTTCCTGACCCACGTTAGCGCCACTTCACCTCTCTGCACCACGGAAGTGCTACCAGGTGCCCAGAACACTCTTACTTATCTAGTTGCACTGATTCATCGCTTAAATCTCTCTGAAAGGGAATGAAAGACTGAAGAAACAATGAGATGATAAACACGGGTCTGTATAAGGACTCCTCACGTACCCATTACCAACCTCAACAGTTTTCAACACGTGCCCAGTCTTTTCTGTTTGTGTCATTTTGAGGCAAAACCCACATGTCATTCTACATGTGTTAACATTTCAAAATAGCATTCTAGAAGCTAGGACGCCTTAAAAAAACATAATCACAATACTGGTATCACACCTAAAAAATGAGAAGCCAAACGACTTATACGATGACCCAGGACCACCGTTAGTAAACTTGCCTGCAGTCCTTACTGGGTGCGAGCCCTGCTTCGGGAGCTCTCTCTATATTAACTCATTTAACCCTATGATAAAGATGACTTACCAAAAGCACCATTTTATACGTGAAGAAACTGAGGCCCAAAGAAGTTAACATAACATGTTCAAGGTTGCCCAGCTAACCCAAGTGTCCATCAGCTGATGAATCAACAAAATGCAGTATAGCCATACAACAGAATGTTACTCAGCAGTGAGGAATGAAGTACTAACCCACGTTGTGACACGGAGGACCCTTAAAGACACCCTGCTAAGTGAAAGAAGCCAGACACAGAAGGCCACGTATTGTGTGATTCCACTTATGTAATGTGTCCAGAATAGCAAATCTAGAGAGAGAAAGTAGACCCATTGTTGCCGAGGCCTGGGTGGGGGGAAACGCTGGCCAGCGGTCATGGAGTCTCTTTCCCCGGTGAGGACAGTGTGAAGTTGATGGTGGTGATGGACGCACGGCTGTGCACCTGTGCTGAACCACTGAAAACCAATGAATTGTGTGTACACTTTAAAATGGGTGACTTGTGGGCACCTGGGTGGTTCAGATGGTTGGGCGTCTGCCTTCGGCTCAGGTCATGATCCCAGAGTCCTGGGATCGAGTCCCGCATCGGGCTCCCTGCTCCTTGGGAGCCTGCTTCTTCCTCTGCCTCTCTCTCTCTCTCTCTCTCTGTCTCTCATGAATAAATGAATAAAATCTTTAAAAAAAATAAATATAATAAAATGGGTGACTTGTATGGATATGAGAATTTAAACTCAGTAAGGCTGTTTTTAAAAAAGTAAATTATCAAAAGGTTTAACATTTATCAAACCAAGGAATATTCATGGACCATCTTAAAGGTATATATTACATTCTATATGAGTTATAAAACATATGTAAAACATAAAAGCAGACCTCAAATTGCTTGTAGTTCAAAAGAAAAGGCATATATGCAGTACATAATAATGCCCTTTTGCTTTCCGAATTTGTGCCTTTTTCTCTAAGGGCAGTCAACTACCTGAACCAGGCTTTCTGATTCATAAAAGCTATTGGGCTAGGGTCCGATGAACACATGCTAGAAAAGGACTGATCCTGCTCCCTTTCCACCTGCGACCTGCAGAGGTCATGATCAACCACAGGGTTACCTTGTGAGCGAGCAATCTACAGGATTCTTAGAGAGCTGAGGCTGGGCCTATTCACCTTATAATTGAAATAATTCGAGTAGATGTATCCTACCTAAATCGAGGCCAGAACAGCTCAAAGATCCTTGGGTGAACTAAGGCCACCATGCCTGGGTCCTTCTCCCTGGGTTTAGCAATGCCCAGAGTAAACAAATAGTACAGGTTTTCCTTACCGATAGCCACTGAAGGTCTGGTCTGTTCCCCCAATGGGGAGGCTGCACCTACTAGGCCACCTCCCTTGGCCCTCTAAGCTCAAACAGCAAAGGTCACTCTGCTTGAGGTGGGCTTGAGAGCTTCACCAAGAAGACAAGGCCCTCGTCTGCTTCCTACTGAGCTACACAGTTCAGAAAAAGTAGGAGCATCTAAGATCTGTGATGAAAACCGGGAAAGCTGTGGTCATGAAAACGTGTGGGTGTTTAGAGGAGAGAGAGGAAGGCCACAGTAGGAGATCCAATCTTGAGAAGGGTATTTTGGGGATCTGAAGCTGCACAGAGTAACTGTAACACTGGAAAAAAAAAAACCCTGAAAAGGTCCAGGCACCTGGTGGGTCACTTACAACCAGGAAGGCTTTCCGGGGGTAACACTTACCTTAAATAAATAATGAGGAAACTGATGTTCAAATTCAAAGTGCCTGGGTACCAAGGATGTATGGCTGTGGGGCTCTGTTCTACCCTAAGGCTACCAGAACAGTGTCCAACCAGCCCGATGGCCAGTGAACCCGTGAAGCTCACATGCCACATAGATGCCCAAACCTGGGGTGCACACCAAAAAGATGCTGGAATTTTATAAACATGTGAATTTAGCCGAACTTTAGAACGTGGATTTACATTTTCTAGAAGTTTCAGATAATGGGAGCAATCAAAACTTAGAATGTTTCTTAAGCTAACAACCATTTAGTGTTTAAGACAAAACTAGTCAATGAGGTAGAAACTCCCATTTCAAACACTGCTAATTATGCATCTTTTCCTGAACTGCCCAGAAAGAACATCTATTTGGCACAAGTGGTCTGGGCCCAGAGTGGCCTGATGAATCAGCAAAGAACTCAGCATCATAACATTATGGCCGAGTTGCCTCATTTAAACCACAGTCCTACTTGGCCTACAATCACTAACATTATAGTGGTCTCCTTACCTTTCACGACATCAGCCACATTGCAGGTGGGATCAATACTTCCAATGTGTTTAGGGTGAGCAGGATTAGTGTCACCACCAAACAGAAGTGCTAAACAAACACAAAAGGGAAGGGAGAGATTAAAAACAAAGCAGGCAATGTAGCCTTACAAGTTTTGAAAGGACTGTCTTATTTGCAAGAATCATTTTAGCATCCAGAGTGAGTGACTTAAAGCTAGAGAACACATACAATGAGGGGTGATCAGCTCTACTGGATGGCAAAGGAGGAAGGACATGCTCTAAGATCTGCTGGTTGCAGTTAGCAGGTCTGAAAGCAGTAAGACGTGCCAGGGGTCCAGTCCTTTTCTCCCTGACCCCATATGACTTGGATGAAAAAGTTATTTTCCTCCTCAGCCAAGTTTACTCACCTTCTCGGTACTCCTCCAGACAGTGATTCCAACATTCACTACTTATTTAGAAAATGCAGTCTGTACTGTTAGTGCAGGCCTGTGAAGTGACTTCACTGGGAATATTTTAAATGCCTCCATCACGGGGAGTAGTTTTCAAATATTTTTTTTTTTGTTCAAGTACCTTTCAAACTACACTAAAGGGGCACCTGGGTGGCTCAGTTGGTTAAGCGACTGCCTTCGGCTCAGGTCATGATCCTGGAGTCCCGGGATCGAGTCCCACATCGGGCTCCCTGCTCGGCGGGGAGTCTGCTTCTCCCTCTGACCCTCCCCCCTCTCATGTGCTCTCTCTCTCTCATTCTCACTCTCTCAAATAAATGAATAAATAAAATCTTAAAAAAACTACATTCAAATACTTCCACAATACACAAGATTTACAAAATACTGCTTCTGAATAAAAGCCAAAGGGAGCCCCAAAGAGAAAAGTAACCTGAATCCAAATGTTTATAAGTGTACTTATTTTCAAATCAAACAAAAATTGGGGATAACTTAGATTCCACAAAAGGAGAACTTAAATTAGGGGATAAAATAGGGAAGATTTGGGGATGCTTGGGTGGCTCAGTTGTTTAAGCGTCTGCCTTTGGCTCAGGTCATGATCCCAGGGTCCTGGGATCAAGCCCTACATCGGGCTCCTTGCTCTGCAGGGAGCCTGCTTCTCCCTCTGCCTGCTGCTCCCCCTGCTTGTGCTCTCTCTGATAAATAAATAAATAAATAAATAAATAAATAAATAAATAAATAAATAAATAAAATCAATCTTTAAAAAAAATAGGGGAGATTTTAAATTATGAAAAATGACAAATAAGGGCATTAGGCCAATGCATAAACTTCCAAATGATTAAATGGAAGAAAAACAGAGGTGTACAAGCTTATCAGTGATCTAAAAACATGTACATATATACGTAGACAGACACATTTAGGTCAAAAAGAAATTGTAGTTGTGTAAGTAGCTTAATTGAATAGTAATTAGGTTCTTTTTTCATTTAAATTTCTTATAAACTGTCAGACATTTCTATTTTTAAAAGATATACATTTGGGACCAACCCACACATAATAATTGTATAACACTCACTAATCCAAATAAATCCAATTAACAGAGATGCTCTGCCTATTTTCTGCTTCAGCAAAGAGGATGATTTAGACTCTAGACATGTAGATGCTTTTTCATAAGAATTATGAAATCAGGCAAAGAGACAATGCTGAAAATGAGCCAAAAAGTTTTTTTGTGGCAAGAATTTTGGTTTTTTTTTTTTTATCTGCTTATCATCCTGGTGAGTGGATGAAAACTCTCCATATGAGACTATGGTTTGACAATTTGCTTAATCTGATTTCAATGATCACCGTGAAATTAAAGATCAATTGCTCAGATGTCAAAATGCCAATTCAATATTCCCAGTATCAGTGTTTTTAAAACCAAAAAGAAAAACACATAACATCCTGGATAAAGACGAGAACCCACTCTCAGAGACACAGCAAAGTACTCTCTCACCCTCCCCAGGAATGTAACAGCAGAGGCTTAAAAGGCAGGCAGAGTTCCTGCCTCTCATATGAACATCAAAATTTCAAGGATTTCCATTAACAAAGAATATTAACGAAGAGCTTTTTAATAGGTAGGATTTACTTAGGAAAAACTAAACTAGAAATGAAATTTCTACTGACCAAACTTCAGATCAATAAATTCTAAGTGAAGCAACAGGAAAACATTTGGGAGAAATCACTCTGGGTGCCCTTTTGAAAGTGGACCAAAAACCCCACTTACTGTGCTGGTTAATAAGCATGCGGAAAGAGATGCGGTTGGTATAGAACCGATCCAGAAAATACTGGATGTTACTGCTAATGAATGGATCAAAGCCAAATTTCTCCTTGTATTCAATCACTCCTTGTGCCATGGTAGGGACCACATCGTTGTGTCTATTTCTGACTTTGATGAGAACTTGCAGAAAGCTGTGTGGGAGGGAGATAAAAAGTGGTCAGTCTTTATACCTCACGCACTGATGCATAAACTTCCCAGCACTGTCTCTGGACTATTTAGGTGCTGGTATTTTTATAAGTAGAGATACTATCATTATGCGCTACAAGGAGAAACTAAAGTATTACCCAAGGTTTTGCTTGGAACCTTCTATCCAAATTCTTTCACAGACACAAAAAGTAAAAGGTTCTAGTAAAGAAAAAAATGCTTGAATACCTTCTTAGGAATCCACTGACTTTATGGAAAAGTGATCACATATAATACAGGTTCCATAAACGTTTGCTGAATAATTGTGGAACACATTAACATTTCTTCTGACAACATGAGGACAATCCCCCCAAATTTCCAGGGATTTATTAGAAAATCTCAAAGCAACAGCTTCCATGAATAAGTAATGTGAAACTTTTTAAGAATAAAATTTTGAAATGAATTTCTCATAGCAGTAAAATACAGTGATGAAATGTAGACAGAACAAAGGCAATTAAAACAAACCGAGTCAAGAATTATGGTATATTACTATAAAGATACAGAGGGAAAAATATACTAAGAATGGTAACTAAGAACAGAGAGACAAGTCGATGGAACCAAATAAAAAGCTTGGAACAAGGCCCAAGGGCAAGTAAATATGTATGCATAAAAATTTAGCATATTGATAAAGTGACATTCCAAGTCAGTAGGGAAACCATCAAATTAGTTGGGACAGCTGGCTACCAATTTAAGTCACGTCCCAATTTCAAGCCTTAAGCTAATAACTTAGTTAAAAGGTTTAAACGTAAAAGAATAAAATCACAGAAAAAAAATAAAAGAAAATCAGGTGAATAAGTAGATAGTATAGTATGCCTTAGGGTAAGGAAGGCTGTCCTAAGCTTAATACCACAGGTAGAACCCTGAAGAAACAAACGATAGGACTATGCAGAATTTCGGCAATTCTACAGGGATAAAGGTTATTAAAGTCAAAAAACAAAGTGAAAACTGGGGAAAATACATTTGCAAGAGCTACTGTCTTTAATGAAGGAAAAGATGAGCACCCTAACAGGAAACGAGGTAAGGGATCCGGTATCAATGGGAAATTTACCACAGAGGCAACACAAATGCCAATAACTTCCCCCTTCGAAAAGAGTAATAGAAAAGCAAAACAATGCAGAATTAGTCTCCACTCATCACACTGGGGGAGAATAACCAGTGTCCTCTAGAGTGTGGAAGCATAACTGATACATTTCTAGGGGCAACTGAGCAACATATATCAAAGACCAAAGAGATTCATTCCACTCCCAGGAATTGATCCTAGGAAAATGACAGAACAAGGCCAACGGCTGTATTTAAGAACTATTCTTAAGAGCCCTGTTTAGAGTAGCAAGAAAAATACAAACCATTCTACAACTCAATGACAGGAGGTCAAATCACATGACTTACCTGTAGACGGACCATTTTGAAACCATTAGTAATGGCATAGAGATCTATAATGTCCACAGTTATTTTTGTAAAACATATTGTGCACATATAAAAATATGGATGCCTAGGAAAAAGTATGGAATGCAAGGAAAATGTTAACGGTGGTTGTCCCCTGGTAATGGAAATTTGGAGTGACTTTCTTTTCACTTATCTGAATAGTCTTAATGTTTCTCAGTGATGAAATACTCCTGTAACAAATACACACACACAAAGACAGCAGAGATGAATAAATCAACTCTGAAACTGGAAGGTCATAATTATTCACAAGAAATTTGATAATGGACGATCTGTCCTCTACATAATGTTCTTTCTAACGTATTTATAAATTCAATATCACTCAAGTGAAAGATTTCATTACAGTAGAGAAGCACCTCAACTTAGCAGAAGGGAGGAGACTTGCCTCAAGGGCTCGATTCTCAGAATGCTTCCCCCCGTCTTCCGGGGTCCTCTTAACTTTATCATTAAGAGAAACAAGCCTGTTCTCTAAGCTGCTTTCACCTCACTTAAATGATCTCTGTGCCTGGGACTCCTGTACAGCTTCTGCCGGACTGGAAAAGGCTACCACTATGAGTAAACTGACTAGCTCACCTTCCTTTCCTTCCTTTGCCAGAGGCAGCGGGCTTCTGAAACCCCAGCTATCCCGACTAGCTGTGTGAACCTGGGCAAGTCACCAAAACTCACTGAGGGAGAGCGATTATCATTATGATCTCACACGCACTGGATCCAGCACTTGGCAGTTTCCAAAGTGGGCTCATGTCCATAAATTGCATCTGACCAATAACCTGTTCCAGAAACTGAGACAGGATTCTGGGAAACATACGGCAGCAATTTAATATTATTTACTTCCACAAATCTATACCCTAAAATTTGAAGCTAGAGAAGTCAGTCCTAATTTCTAGGATGTCAGCAAAACAAACTGTTACTAGCTAATGACTTGTGAGCAAACAAAGCTTCTGGATTCGATTCCTTTAATTTCAGTACGTTAAATGAGAGCAATGGCCTCTAGCAAGAACATTGCATCTGGGGCTCTAATGCAACGCCTCCCTTTCTCAAACCACAAATCCATTCGCAAAACACCTAGCAAGGTATACAACAGGTGGGGATTCTTCCCCCTTGTATTTTAATTTACAACTAAACTGGAGCTCGCTACTCAGGGTGCACACCGGTGGTTCTCGCAGTTGGTACATTGTGCACAACAGTGCATGAAGGAACTGGAACAAGCATTTACAGATCCAGCTCTGCTACCAACTCATGTTACAACTTTGGACAAGTCATTGCTCTTCTCTGACCTCAGTTTCCTTATCTGTGAACTGAAACGGTTGGGTTGAATGCCTCGAGCTACGGGTGCTTTGCTAACAGTGTTTCTTAGTTCTTTTTCTGGAATGCCTATATGTAAGGCGTTTGGTGTCACAACTCTGTGGACCAAGATTCTCTGTAGAAAAAAATTCTTCAACACAACAGGCCTGCCATGTGCAGTCCCGCGTGTGTACGTGAAACAGGAGGAAAGTAATGTGAAGGGGATACTTAATTTCTCTTGGGGGAAAAAAAAAAGGCAAACAACACTCAGAGCTAGGGTGAGTATTTTTTCAGTTAAATGAAGATGAAAAAACAGAAACATTTTCCAGTTAGAGAAGTTAGCAGCCTTTGTGCAGAACAGGAGCAGAGAATTCAGGTCGTTATATTAAAAGCACACTCTTTTATGCTGCTCCAAAATAAAAGCATTACAGGTTTCCTGAGCTCAACTATTATGCTGCACTGAAAATTTTTTTTTAAAAATTGAAAAAAAAATTGTAAAGGACTGAGTAGATAAATTCAGGTCTCTCCAGAGGCCACTGCATTCTTAAAACTACCACTAGGTGGTACATTTACTGCAATATTTATAAGTGAGTGGCCGGCACCAGTTCACCAGGAGTGAAAATTTATTAAGACCTAGATCATGAAATATAATTTAAAGGGTCATTCATTATTCCTTTTGTGCTATGTTAAATTAACTTTAATTGTTTAAAAATGTGATATTGAGTTGTTACCCATTAACAAACTTAATGCTTTCACCAAATTACACTTCTTGGTTCTTAATGACATGAGTTCCATTTACCAAAATATTTTTTAACCTGATGTTTTTACTGTCAGGTAAGTTTGGTACCATACTTACTTATCCAAGACCTGTGGATCTTCAGGGCTCTTATTCTCATATTCTAAAAGTTCAAGAAAGCTCTGCATATACCTAAAAAAAAGATGAGTTACTCTGTTAATTGCCTACCCAACATCCATTCCTCCTTTCCCTCTTCCTAAGAGTACCCTAAATCTTCACTCAGGTATCTACCCCATTCCCCTCCACCACCAATTGCAGCCCAAGTGCTGCAGGGGAAGCTGATGCCATGCAAAGCTCCTGGGTGGCCTGATTTTTCTCTGGGTAACAGTATTTTTCTTGTCACTGATTACTAACTAGTCCAATAGTCTAGCCCTAAGCCTGTCATTGCACTGCATTCCCCTGAACAAAGGGACTGGCTCAGGAATGGGCACACTACCCCAATTCAGGCAAGTAAAATAAAAGGGAAGACGTGGTGGGGGTCTTTGGAAGAGAAATTAACTTGCTCTGCTTTTTGTACAGTGGGCTTTGGGGATGTAAACCCTGGAAAGGTTGCAGCTATTCTGCCACCAGGAGGAAATCCAGCCTGAAAATAAAGCCGACACCATGGAAAGCAGGGCCTTGATAATCTCATGAATTCTCTAAATCAACTAACACCAAAAGCCCATCCTATAGCTACACGAGCCAATGTATGGTTTAGTTGGATTTTCTGCTACTCACAAACATATTCTAACTGGTACACCAAATCTACAGTTTCATTAGCCAAGATGTGCATATGAATTGTAAGGAACACATGTGTGACACTAAAGTGCATGCTGGGAACTTCGAAACTAGAAATAAACGTTCCTTCTCAGAGTTAAACTAATCTCATCAACACTGCAGAGGAGGGAAAGGAATGCCTCTTAGGTCCTCAGAAACAGCTTCTGGATTAAAAATAGCTACATATCTCAATCAGGGCCAGTACAGGAAATAATGTGTACAAAATAAATATCTGGAGAACACAGAAAAATGGGATCCAGAGAGGCACATTACTGAGGCAGCTATATCCGGACATAACCTGCTGGATCTGGAGGGGATTCAGAGAAGCCAATTACTCAGAGGTGTGTCATCTCTGCTTTGGATCTGAACATGCCCCGAAAGAATTATCCCTTAATATAATTATTTCTAACAATTAATTACCACTAATCCTCCTATCCAGCTTTGGAGGGAGGATGAGGGTACTCCAGTAACAAAAAATGACTGCAAAGCATATAAATACATGAACAGGAATAATGTTTTATTAATCAGCCTCACTTGAACTTTGTAACGATGCATGATACTAAAGTATGTTCATCTCTGGATATCCTTTTTAAAAGCTTCTGGGCAAATCAGGCTATGGATTAGGCACTGTTGAAATCATCAGGTCAAACCTCCCTCAGAGGGCAAAGTCAGCCAGAGGCAACAAGGCCCTCTATCCTGTCACACGCCAGCAGGATTCTAGGGAGATAAGTAGTTCACTTAAAGAGCAGAGTCATGAGTGGAGAGGAGCCAAAGATGCTGCTGAGCTTCCCAGCCTGAAAGTCAAGAAAACAAGGAGAACACACTCTAGCTGAGGTGGGCTTCACGGCCTGTTGGAAGAGTCACTTTTAAGAGGAAAAGGAAATGACAGCTAAGCACAATGTGTGATCCTAAACTGGATTTCTGCATTGGGGAGGCAGGGATTGCTGGGGGGGGGGAAGAGTACTACTGGGGCGCCTGGGTGGCTCAGGCGGTTAAGCATCTGCCTTTGGCTCAGGTCATGATCCCAGGGTCCTGGGATCGAGTCCTGCATCGGGCTCCCCGCTCAGCAGGGAGCCTGCTTCTCCCTCTCCCTGCCACTACCCCCTCTCGTGCTCTCTCTCACTCTCTCTCAAATAAATAAATAAAATTTTTAAAAAAGAGCACTATTAGAGCAATTAATGAAACGAGAACAAGTTCTCCCACATTAGAAAATATTACTAAATCAATGTTAAACTGCCAAATCTGATAATCATACGGTGGTTTTCTAAGAGTTGTTCTAAGGAGATACATACCAAAGTCGTTAGGGGTAGAGGGGCATGTATACCATTAACCCAAATGGTTTAGGAAAAAAAATAATGTGTAGCATATATGTTATGTGTGTACCACGTTTGATATACCCTAAGTGTGTACACACACACACACACACACCCAGAGAGAGAGCGCGAATATGAATGAGAACAGCAGGACAAATGGCACCAGATGTTAACAATTAGTGAATCTGGGCCAAGGTATATGGCAATTCTTGCTACTAGTCTTGCATATCTTTCTGTTATATAGGAAATTATTTTGAAATTGAATTTTAAAAAAAAAAAAAAGAAGTGACATGCATGTGTTTGGGATGGCTACAGAAGAGAAATGTGAGACAAAAAAAAAAGAGCTGACCCCAGCATTTAAGTCTATACTTCACCAGCTGAATCACTTTGAAGCCCCCGAAGTAACTTTTACATAAGCGATAGACAGTGTGACTGTCAGTCACTGCCACCAGGCCCAGGGAACTTGAAGCCCAGCTAGTCAACCTCCAATCCCCACCACAATGACCCCAATAGTGAGTGTACACTTTCTGCGGGAAAATTTCGGATGATGCTCTTAAAACAATAAAGAAATTTCAGGCAAACAAGCACTCGCTGCTCCTGCTGGAACAAACTCTGCATCCGGGGTAGGAAGCTACGGAGGAGGAGAGCAAAGTGTTTCTCGAATATATGCAAATCCCTTTCTGAAAATACACCACCTGCTCTTACATCCTACCACTCACTGACCTCACCCTGCTTACCTAGTGGGTAGTTGAGTCACAAATTCAACTTCCTCAATTAAATAACACGTGTTTGCTGCATTCTCTGTTGAGATTTTTTTTTTTTTTTCATAAGGCAAATGAAGCACATTATGTACTGGCATTTTTACAATCCGAGGTTCCCCTTTAAATGACTTAATTTTCTCTAACAAATACTGCCACCAAGAAACTCCTTTAACAGGAAAACAAAAGGAACAAGGCTGAGACTTGATCAAAAAGTGGCAACATCCCCTTATCCAACGGATTGCAGACCAGTCCGCATGGGTTCCTTTAAATTTTTCTGTACTTTCTAATTTTTGTTTCAGTGAACAATTACATTTATAACCAGAAAAATGAAATTTGAAAAGTCAAGAAAGCTGTCCTGTACAGTTTAGAAGTCTTTTCATTAAGACAATGTGAAATTGTCAGGTTAAAAAAAAAAAAAAAAACTTTTAACTGCTTGGAAAATTGCAGCTATCCCGAATGACTCATTCCCACACATGCCATACACGTACTTTTAGGGAAAATGGGCTCCATGCCAGGTGTTCAGAGCATTATGGGAAGACCGATCTAAAGCTACATTATTTACTTACCAACTCTGAACCAACCCCACTGAAGGGCGGTTAAGCAAGTTATCCGGCAGAAGATTAACCTCTCTCATTGTGTTGGCCAGTCTTACAGGAAGCTCCTTTCGTAGAAACATATATGAAGTTTTCTCACATGCATTATCTCTCCCTGTTAAGACACAATGAATGTTCCATGATTTTATAATCTAACAGATGGAATAATAAAGTGCTCTCATGATAGCATGGTTACTGGTTAGGAGGAGAAAATTAAACAATCCTGCAGTCTCTAGTGAAATTTTTATCCTCTGAAATTGCAAGTTTAAGAAAATAATTTAATTAGAATAGAAAAAGAACATTTATTCCAAGAGGCAACCTTGAAAGCAGTTTTTTTTTTTTAACACAAATACATTTCTAGTGTTACCGTTAGTGATATAAAAATGACCTGGGATATAATCTGAATTTGTTTTCAAATTAACACTATGGGAAAACTGCCAAGTACAAAAGTAGGAAAACATGTAAATCCACTCCTGTTCACAGGGGTTTCCAGAAGGCAAAAGACCCATTCATTCCACAAATATTCACCACCTGTGTGTCGACTGCTTCTTCCTAAGGTTTTCTTCAAATGTGTTTCTCCAGGAATCAGAGCTTTGTCACCCTGGGAAGCAGCCACAGACCTGCTCTGATTAAGACACGGGGCTCAGGATGTGCCAGAGAAAGCAGCTCACAGGTGCACTCAGAAGCAGAGTGATCTACTCTGACATGACCAAGAGGTAAGACCCGGTGTTGACCATAAAGACAGAGGTCACAGAGTCTTCTCTTGGTTGCCCTGAGCTGGTTGTGCATAAAACTTAGATAGCTGGGACACAGTGAGAGAAAAGGGACACAGCCACCTGAACAAGGAAACCCAAGCCTCTTCCCCAGCTGCTTTGACCGGAGTAGCATGGGCCCCAAGTCCTGCTGTAAACCTGATGACGGCTGGGGGACTGGGGACATGAGAGAAAGGACATGAGCTTTGGGGACACAAATGTGCTTCAGCCCCAACTCCTCCATTTGGGGGTAAGAAACCTTTGGTAAGCTTCTTAATTGCTCTAAATCGCAGCTGCCCTAACCTGTAGAATGGGGATAAAATTTCAGTTTTTGTAAAGACTAAATGTGGTAACAGGTACGGAGCCTGACACAAAGCAGGTGATCAATAAACATTAGTGTTCTGTCCTCTGTGATACTTATGGGTCCATCCCAACCCCCTCACACTCCATAGGCCTTCCTGATGTTCCATACTGCCAGGAGGCTGTTTGGAGATGGGCAACCTTGGGGCCAGGCCCAGAGACAAACAAGCAAGGCTCAGGGAACACTTCTCTCCTCCAAACTCTCCTCATTCTTCCAAATATGATACAGGCCGCAAACCAGAGATCCAGAAATAAATCTGATTTGCTAACACTTGCAGCCAAGTTCTGGTTTATTCCTTTCCTCTCCCCACTGAATAAGACTAGAAATAAAAGAACCCACTCATGAAAGTCATCTGCAGAACCATTCTTTCCCCACTGACCCGAGCCCCCTTCTCCATGCTAAAAAAGTTAGAATAAAAGATTAGTCTTACACAATCCATCCCTTACTTCCCTCATTCTAGGTGAATATACTGAAGGCCTTCGGTGCGTCTTTAACTCATCAATGATTCTGTCTTCCACTTTTCCCCTGAGTGAGGAAAAAGGGGTGTGATATCCCAGCAATGATCTTCCATCATCTACTCTATACACATTTATTTGGCTCCAGATGATTAACATTTAAAAGGACTCTGGCTGTTTTGCTTCAGATAATATGTATCATTCCTAAAACGCTCTGGAGGATTCTTATAGACGAATCATTTTAAGTGCACTAAAAGTGCTGATACTTAAATCACGGTGAATCATACCATAAAATGAAGGACCTGTTATTATCTAAGGTAAAATGTACATCTAACTTTTCACATACCAGGACAAACACTTTGCATCCTGGTTAAATAAAAAGGACACCTTTTTTTCAAGCATAGAAGAAATGTCTCCGTTCTCCCTGTAGGAGAAGCAAGTGAGGGAATGCAGGAGAGGAAGGGGCCCACAGGGGTTGAACTGGAACTGTGAGTAGCAGTATGACCTCAGGATTTGAAAAAATTATCTCAGTTTTTTAGACATTAAAGTTTACATGTTTCAACTGCCATGTCCACAGCATATTAGGAGCAGCACACTGGAAGCCTAGGGCTGGGGGGTGGGGGGGAGGATGAGGAGAAGTGGGAGCTGGCTGGCAGGTGGCAAGGGGCCATCAGGCCACGTTTGTGCTGGAAATGCACAGGGCTAGACAGTTTCAGAATGTCAAGGTTTTCCGACTTTCGGAAGGTAAAAGGAGTACGTACATCCACTGTCTATGATATAGACACAATAAAGCTGCGGTGAAATCATTTACATGGAGCAGAAAAAAGACCATGGCCTGAAGTAAGTTCAGGTCGTGTTTTGTCACCGAAGGTATGAAAAAACAACTACAAGTTTTAGAGCTTTTTTTTTTTTTTTAAAGATTTTATTTATTTGTCAGAGAGCAAGCGAGCGCACACGCACACAAGCAGGGGGAGCGGCAGGCAGAGGGAGAAGCAGGCTCCCGGCTGAGCAAGGAGCTTGATGCAGGACTCAATCCCAGGACCCTGGGATCATGACCTGAGCTGAAGGCAGACGCTTAACCCACTGAGCCACCCAGGCGTCCCAAGTTTTATTTTTTTTTTAAAGATTTTATTTATTTATTCATGAGAGACAGAGAGAGAGAGAGAGGCAGAGGGAGAAGCAGGCTCCCAAGGAGCAGGGAGCCCAATGCAGGACTCGGTCAGGACCTGAGCCGAAGGCAGACGCTTAACCATCTGAGCCACCCAGGCGCCCCGTCCCAAGTTTTAGAGCTTTTTGAACTTCAGAATTCAGATAAAAGACAAGAGACCTCCAGAACAGTATATTAGGCCAAGATCATGTGCCAGAGTTTGACTTGGGTTTGAACGCTGACTTGAGCCTCCCGAGCTTTATGGACGTGGCAAGTGTCATTACACTTCTAAGCCTCGGTGTAGTCGGCTACAGGAACACTACCTACCTTCATAGAGGTGTAGTAAGGGTTAAAAAGTGCTTAATATTTAACACTGACAACCTCTTAAAATTTAGAAGAGGGGGCTCATTGAAGAGCCAGCACTAATGATTGCAAAGGATGATAAAGCAGAACAGCCTGAGGCCATGGGGTGCCAGAGCAAATAACCTGATACTTGCTAAGCCCTGAGAGCTCTGCTACATTCTGGTCCAGTGCGGTTGCCTGTGCTCATTTGATGATTCTACATAATTAAAAAGGGATTAAAAGGGATTAAAGTATGTTGTGTCCCTACCATCCACTTTTATTTATTTTAAAATAAAAGGCCTTTGGTCATCTCTGAACTAACTAGAAAATTCAACGACTAGGTATGGTCTAAGATAACCAAATACCAGGAGGCATTTAGTCTAGCCCTCTTGGATTATCAGCTTATTATGAAGGAGCAGAAAAAGAACCGTGTTTTGTCTCTGTATCCCCCATGGCAGCAATGAGAGGACTTGACCTATGGTAGTTTCTCAATGATTTACTGGGAAGATAGAGAATACTTTTAATACTTTTTAAAAAAAAAGAATATCTGAAAAATCTCAGGTTTTGCCTCCTACATTCTTACTTAGCTTTAGAGATGAATTCTTTGTACTCAGATACCTTAATTATACATCAGTTTAAACAAGGGGGTAAGCCTTTTTTAGTTAATTAGTGAACCTAAAAATAAATATGAAAGGTCCAACATTTTTTTAAACTTTCTGTGGTTTTCATGGAAGTTGGAAGTATTTTGTCCTATGTACTAATGCTGGATACTCAGTTTAAATCAAAGAGTTCCAACAATCTTTTTTTGTTTTTTGTTTTTTTGGGTTTTTTTTACTCAACTTAAAAAAGTCTTTTGGTTTTAATTGAATGTCCTCTAAAAGGCTTCAGGTTTTATTTTTTTTATTTTTTAAAGATTTTATTTATTTATTTGAGAGATAGAGAGCACGAGAGGGAAGAGGGTCAGAGGGAGAAGCAAGCAGACTCCCCCCCTGAGCAGGGAGCCCGACGCGGGACTCGATCCCTTCCCTGAGGGGCATCTACCTCTGTGCTGAGGGAAAGTGAGTAACGTCCACTAGTGCCCTCATCCTCTCTCTTTAGAATCCTGTTTACTCTTCGAAGGTAGATACGTGTCCATAAACAGATTAGTGAGAAACCCGCCCTTCTGCATGCCAGGTGTAAATAGATTTCACTGTGAGTCCACAGTCTGTGCCCTCTGCCTGGACAACCTCTCTGCCATTCCCCCTATTCACTGAGTTCTATGTCCTGTGGGTCCCAGGATCCTCAGAACACTGAAGAGTCTACTAGCACAATATGCAACACACCGTACATATCTAATAAATATTTCCTGATTAGAACTGAAAATCAAAATACCTAGTAAGTTTCTGTATAAACTTACTATAGCAAATAAAATTCAGGGATGCAAGGTCATATTTGCTGGTAATGGTAAATTCCTCTTATAGATAGACCACTCCATTCTACATATTTGGTCAGAGGTATCAAATCCTTCAAGTTAGGGGAAGAGGAGCCAAAGGTAGGAAGGAAGGTGATAATAAAGTGGCAGTAACTGTCAGTATGGTATGGCAGGCCAGGGAGTGGAGGAAAAAGGCATGGATGTGTTTAGAACTGATATCACAAACAGAGCTTTGACCAGCGAGAACATGCAAGTAACAACTGTAGCCAAAGCCACCACAAAGACTCCTATCAACCTAATTCCAGAAGGGGCTTTAGGATATATAGTCCTAACGGTAGATTGGTAAGTTACAGGATGCCTTGTTGTCATGGAAGCAGGAACATTTAAGTAAAGGTCACCATGTACTCATCTTCGAGGTGAACTGAAGCAAAATGTTAAGTTAACCATTACAGTGAATGAAGAGGATCCAAAGCCAGGAATGCTCAAAGCACAAATGAACTGAAAGTGCTATGTTTCTTGGAAAATGATCAGTTTTTAGAGCTGGGACCTTCAGCCAACAAACTTTAAGATAATTAACATTCAAGGTTAAGAGCTCCCTATGCAGCTTTTATTCTTAGCAGGAAGCTGATTTCATCCAGGAAATGCTG